GGCAAATCGTTGGCCTTTTCCTTAACCCTCTTCCTTTGAATGTTTGTTATTTCCATTATGACCTGTTCAACTGAATTAAGATTAGAACTATGTCATTGCTTTAATGTGCTACAATCACATGATGGTCCTTTGTCTCAACCAGTCTTAGAGATGCTTGACAATTGGTGTGGTGAATGGTGACTTATTGTTTCACCATTGCTGGATGCCAATTCTTTTTAATTCTAAGTAGCAGTTTTAGATACATGTCTCCATCTTTTTATCAGGCCTTTATTTACCAGTCAACTTGAACAAAGAATTGTATGCATAATTTCAGGTGGTGGAGGAAGGCCATCTCCAAGCCATGGTTCTTGATAGCATTGTATCTTCTCCAATTCGCAGGAAGACATTCCCAAGGGATGAGATGGGAAGCTGGTCAACACTTGTCCAGAGGCATCGCTATCTCTTAACAGCTTTAACACTCTTAGCATTCCTCTGTACGATCTATCTGTATTTTGCAGTTACTTTAGGTGCCACCGGCTCATGCGCCGGGTTAAAAGGAGCAAAGAGGGCGACTTGTGAACTGCAGCATGCTGGGTCTTCTCTTCACAGTGGAAAATTGAAATTCTTTTAACTTAGGAGAGGGTTTTACTTGTTTATCATCTTCTTCTTTCCTCTTTTTGGGGAATATTTTTTGGCCGGTAACAAAGGGGACTTAAAAAGATATTTAATTTGAAACAAAAGGGTATTTAATTTGAAACAAATACAATTAATAACAAGTATATTATTGTGTTGTCTTGATATTTTTTCTGCTTATGTACAGATCAATCTTTGCGGCATAAAGCATGAACTCAATTGACAATGAATTTTCTTTCAATGTCTCGAGTTAAGAGCTCGGGTGATGCCATGAATTTTTATTTTTCTACCGAAAATAATTATCTTAGGGTCCAGGACACACAACGAAAGTCTTTGCTTTGGCAAGAAATTGATTACTCATTCACTCTTAGTCACTAGATAAACAAAAATGAAAATCACGCGTCAAACAGGACATGAATAAGCTTTAGGAGCTGCAAAAGACAGGACGGAATGGCAGCATCCCAACTCCACCCAGTCAGTACAGCCACTTTCCCATAAAAGCTATAAATATGATATCTGATATCATTAACAACATTTCATGATTAACTTAAGGTTTGAAAATGACAACTTAAACTAGCAGCAACATCTGAGCAAGTATTTCGTAATGGCTTAAGTTCAACAAGGACAGAAAATGAAAGCAACACAACAAAATGATAAAATTAGAACAGAGACGTTCCCTTCCCCTTCTTGTCACCACCAATCTCAAAATGCTTGCATCTCTGCAGAAACCAACACAAAAGAAATACATCAGCATTCACAGACAAAGAAAATGAACATCACTCCACAAATAAACAGTTTTCTGATTCATAACCTTGATTGGGTGTTGGGACACATGCTTGCATCCCTGGCATTGCAACCTCAGCACAATCTTCTTGGTGGTCTTAGCCTGTTTTGTGAAGCAGATAAATATTTGAAA